CGATCAGCAGGGCATAGGCTAATCGCTCCATCTCTGGATACCACATCTCGGCATCTGTCAGATGCTTGCTCGCATAGTATACTGGCCATTGCGCCTTTTCCTCTTCCCGAATCACGGCTGCACTGACCGCGAACTGAGAGACGGACAGGTACAGAAGCAGGATTTCCTGTGGAAAAGGCTTGGACAGGAGAGGTGGTTTCCCGAGGTGTTCTTTTATGCTTTGGAACGCTTGTTCGCACTCGGGTGTCCACTCGAACTTCTTGTTGGCCTTTAGGACATTGAAGAACGGTAATCAACGATCTGTTAACCTCGATATGAAGCGACTAAGAGCCGCTATTCGCTCATTAAGACACATAACCTGTTTTTTGCTGGTCGGGCTCTCCATATCGAGTAGAGCTTGAATCTTCTCGGGGTTTATTTCTATCCCTCGCTGGTTAACCATGTACCCCAGGAATTTTCCTAACGATACTCCGAACGAACACTTGAGAGGATTCAGTTTCATTCTATATAGCCGGAGGATGTCAAACATCTCAGCGAGATGCGCAATGTGCTCTGAGGCGACCTGGGATTTGACTAGCATGTCATCTATATAGACCTCCATTGTTTTTCCAATCTGGTCGGAGAACATTCGGTTAACCAGCCGCTGGTAGGTCGCGCCAGCGTTCTTGAGGCCGAAAGGCATAACTTTGTAACAATACAGCCCTCGATCTGTAATGAAGGACGTATGCTCCTCGTCTGGCCCATACATCAGAATTTGATTGTATCCCAAGTATGCATCTATGAAACTTAGCAGCTCGTGCCCCGAGGTGGCATCCACCAGCTGGTCAATTCTTGGCAAAGGGAAGCTGTCTTTAGGGCAAGCCTTGTTGAGGTCGCTGAAGTCGACGCAGGTTCGCCACTTGCCATTTGGCTTTTTTACCAGAACCGGGTTGGTAACCCAGGTCGGGTAGAGTACCTCTCGGATGGACCCATTTCGAAGGAGGTTGTCCACATCTAATTTTAAGGCGACATACCGCTCCGGATCCATTGCTCTTCTTTTTTGGCGAACTGGCTTTGCTTCGCTGTCGATGTTTAACGCATGGCAAATGATGTCCGGGCTGATCCCGACCATATCTGCGTGCGACTAGGCAAACACATCGATGTTTTCTATCAGGAAGCTTATCAGCTCGGACGCGAGTTGGGGGTTGAGACTACTCCCAATTCTTAACACTCGGCTCGGCTCTTTTGGGTCGACCGATACCTCGGACAAATCCAAAACCGGGCCGCTTGGAGGGGTTTCCTGAATTCGAGGATCTATATTATCATCTGCTGGGCCAGGCTGTGGCTCGATTCGGCTGATCGCCATAGCCTGTCGGGGCACACATCGTGAAATGCCCTTTCCTTTACACGTCATCTGCACCGCTTTTATATAGCAGTCGCGAGATGCGCTTTGCGATCCGTTCACTTCCCCTATCCCTGTTGGGGTGGGGAACTTCATCTTGAGATGGTATATGGATGTGACCGCCTTGAAGCTTCTCAATAGAGGTCGGCCCAGGATTCCATTGAAAGCCGATGGGCAATCCATGACCAAGAATTCAGTAACCTTAGTCACTTCGTCGTAGTCACCCAGCGTGACTGGGAGCTGGATCGTTCCTTTGGGGATCAGGTAGTCCCTTGTAAAGCCGTAAAGAGGGATCGAAGCGGGCTTCAGATCGGTCTTGTCCAAGTTCATCCTTTCGAAAGCAGTCTGGAAGAGAATATTCACAGCGCTTCTATTGTCCATGAACATTCTGCGGACGTTATGGTGCCCTATGAGGGGCGTGATCACAAGGGCGTCGTCGTGAGGATGATGCAGGCGAGTTGCCTCCTTCTCGTAGAAGGTGATCGGCTCCTCTTTTCGAGCCTTTTGTGGCCACTACGATGTGTTCATCACCCTGATCGGGTCGTGATGAGCTTCGCGAGCGTACCTTTCCTGCGCACCCCGCGTGTTTCTTGCGAGGTGCGGTCTTCCAAAGATTATGTTGACACTACTATGCCCTCTGCGATCACGACGCTTTTTCCTTTGCTCCCCTTGGTTCTTCTCTTTTGTGGGAGCGAAGTCATCAATATACTCCTTGAAGTGCCCTTTCTTGATGAGCTCTTCGATTGCTTATTTTAGAGCTCGGTACTCATCGGTATGATGCCCGTTGTCCCGATGGTAGCGATAGTATTTTTTGTTATTTCTGACTGTCGCAGGAGTTTTCATGGGTTCTAGCTTACTGAGCAGACTGGCCTCCTCGGATTTATCAAGAATGGTCAATACAGACACATTCAGTGGAGTATATTAAATTCTGTCGCAGTCGCGACAAGGAACAGGAGCATAGGATTTTTTGTGCTCGTAGCGGGGTTTCTTCCCCTTCCGCTGATCGTCAACATCCCCTCTGTGATCAGCTCTTCTACTTTGCCCCCCGACCAGACATACTACTCGATGCGTCGGGGTCGCGACAGCGGAGTGCCGCCAACGAATTTTCTATTCGGAGGTATTTCTCCGCAAGGTTGTAGAATCCTGTGAGGGAGACATCGTCCTCAGCTTGTAATTCTTTCCACAGGTCGGTTTGTGGGCGTACCCCGGCTATGATGAGAGTCCGAATAGACTCCTCGGGAGTATGAGCCACCTTATTGAGCTCTCTGTGGAAACGGTCAATGTAGGACTGGAGGGATTCATCCTTTTCTTGCCTTATATTGCTAAGGTAGCTCAGAGGCATTGAAAACTTTCGATTCGATTGAAAATGCCTTAGGAACGTCGTGCTCATCTGAGGCCACAAACTGATCGATCCTGCTGGGAGCGACCTGAACCATCTTTTGGCATGGGAGGTCAGCGTCAGTGCCAAACAGCGGTATTTTGCCAAATCTGAGACCTGGTGAAGCTCCATCAAGTCGTTAAATTCATATTGATGATCCTGCGATCGGAATTTCCATCAAACGCTTGCATGTCGGGCATCCTGAATCCTGGTGGGAGTGGAGCAGCTAACACTTCGGGAGAGAAGGGGGACGCAGATGCGACCTGCCCCTGCTCATTTTGCTGAGCTCTTAGTCTGTCAAGAGCTCGCTGCAGCTCCTCAATTTGCGGCAATGGAGCCGCTTGGGGGTTACTTTCACCCATGCTAGTTTGATTCTTTCGGTTACGATTGAGGAAGGTCTAGAGGTTAGGTTCCTCTTCGCCTCGGCCGGCGATTCCAGCCACTCTCGACACACGCTGACTAGAGGCGTCTGATGGCGATGAAAGGTGCGGGGTATTTTCACGACTTTTGATGTGGTAAGAACTGCCCCACGAAGTGTGGGACCCTCTCGCACGGTGACGACCAAGATTGCTTTGCTGACGGTGATAAGAATCGCCCCGTCCAGCATTTTTATGGGTGTGTACCTGTGATGTGGCATGGGACAGCTCTGGCTGCGTCTTTTCACCGAGTCTCAGCGAGACTGGTACTCTGTTTGGGACGCGGTCGATGTTTGCTGGCCCTTTGGAGCCCGTGGGCTTGCTTTTTGCCACTTGCTTACCCTTTCATCTTCGCGCTGCAGTGCTCGCGACACGGGCTATTTCCCTTTGCCGCGCTTTTGCGCGACCTGTAGGTGTTTTTGGCGGTTGCACCACCGCAGCTGACTTAGATGGCGCGCCTTGGTCCAACGGTCCAACCTTTGGTTGACCGTTTGGAGAGTATTGTCAAATCTCTCCAGGTGGCTTCTTATAGCAGGGTCAAGCTGTGAACTTGACGGGATATCTCCCACAACGTTTTGCGGGGTTGAAGGTTTTTTAGAAGAAGTATCCCCCTGAACTTGGGGGGGGGCCCTCAGCACCCTGGTTGGTTTGCTCATGCTCTGGTTGGCGGGCCATTTGTTGCTGTAGGACCGATAAGTCGGAGATTCTCCTGATGAAGGATGAACACTAAATCAGGCCCTCCTTCGAGCGCCAAACTGTTGATGCGTGATTTTACACCAACGAAACGTAATTGTGAAATGCTATGTGGACCCAGAAGACACACGTGAATATAGTGGATAAAGAGATAGTAAATGCAATGGGGACAGTTTTTAAAGTGGTTGGGATGCTAAGGTAGCAAGTCCTACGTCCACTGATGCTTATATTGATGATCAAGGTCAGGTCGCTTTTAGCTGGCTGACTTTACAATAATGTTACAAGGTATCAAATGCTAAGAATTCTAGGAAAGAGAGAGCAATTAATCAAGCGTAAAATGTGCTAATCCCCTTCAATGAGAGATGAACTTCAAATATATAGTGTGATGCCATGAGGCAATGATCACTAAATCTGTAAGTTGGTGGGATTATCCGTGCAAATCTTTCTTTATGTCACATTGCCCACCTTCCAGAGTGATTCGCGCGATTTAAAGCAGGGATTGGACATGTGGGAGCACCACAGCTCTTGACTAGCCTGACGCGCACCCACTATCCTGACGGACACAGACGGTGGTTATTCCAATGACCTAACTTTTGTGGGCTGAAAGGACCTAACGTCAGCCCTCATATTTTTTAGGCAAAACATATATTGAGTGATTATTAGCATAATACTTGTTCAATCTTGATTGCTAATGTGCTACATCTTTGATTATATATATATATATGTTTTTTGTATTTACTTAAGTATTTTAGTTGAGGGAACTTTTCATCTATTTCTTATCTTACATCTTAATCCAATAATGTCAGGATGGACGAATAATTAATATTAACTATTAGATTAAAATATATGAATTAAAAAAAAAAAAAAAAAAACTTGAAAGATTCAGTTAAACGTATATGTTCTTATTTACAATTATTAATTTTTTAAAATACTAAAAAAATTTGTATATCGTAAATAAATAGAATAATATTATATACACAAATTAATCATACAATTTATTTAATTTATTTTTAATATAAATATATCCAATCGTTAAAAAGTTTACGCAATGAAATAAATGAACACTGCTGCTCTAAACTGGTCAATGTTGAGTTGACTATTTAAAGTCTTTTAACTTGGGCCAGACTGCAGTGCAGACAGAACATCGCCGTTATAAACCAGCGTGAAACTGAAGTTGTCTAGCTTTAAACTTGCTTGACTCATCAGTATCTTGTCTTTATCATGGATTGCAAGAATCAGGTACTCTTTTCCTTTTCAGCCTCTCAAATTAATCAAATGCAGTCTTCTAGTACGAACAAGTACCATGATTTGAAGTGTAAGTTTCTCTTTTGATTTCTTCGAGAAAGCAAGAATTAACCTTTTTCTTTTTCGCTTGGGTAACTTATTGCAGAAAGTAACCGGTAATTCCTCGTCTTCTTCTTCAAAGCTTATCTTGTACTCCTACTGGCAGAGTTCGTGTTCATGGCGTGTTCGTTTCGCTTTGAACCTTAAAGGTTTCTCCTTTTTCCTTTTTTCAGTTAGTTGAATTATTATTTTCTGTCACTGTTTCTTTCAAATTTTTGTGCTTTCTGAACTTTGTGAATGCTAATTTTGACTACTAAATTATGTTCTAATTGGCTTTTTCCTTTTCCTTTTTCTTTTTGCGAAGAATATATAAAATATCTTTTTGTATAAATGTGTAGGGCTTTCCTATGAGTACAAAGCAGTGAACCTTTCAAAAGGAGAACAGTTTAATCCAGGTAAACATGGAATTTGCTATATGAATTTGTTTTTTGTCTTGTATAACTTGCTCTGAAAAAAAAATTTGCAATGTTGATGATTGTTATACATCTGGTTTTGCAGAGTTTGAAAAATTAAATCCTCTTCATTATGTCCCAGTGTTAGTTGATGATAATGTTGTAGTCTCGGATTCCTATGCCATCTTGCTGGTTGGTATTCTTTGTTCTTAAAGTCATTAACAACTTGAAGGAACCTCTCAATCATCAATCGTTTTAAGTGAATTAAATCATGATTATAAGGTTCAGTTTCTCATTGGTCTGTGTGCTATCATGCTTTAAGTTCAGGAGTTTGGTTCGTCAATTTAATTTATACTGCATATAGTTTTGTCCCTTGATGATTTGACTAGTTTTAATAATTCTGATAAGTTACTACTATTATTCTTGATTAGTATTTGGAGGAAAATTATCCTCAAAGACCGCTGTTACCAGCTGATCCTCAGCTAAGAGCTTTGAACCTCCAGGTACAAACTTTGCATCAACTCAATTACGAAGATCAGTAATTTACTAAATTAATTTAAATACCATGTCTCACATGGGAACTTCAGTGGAATCCCGTTATGTTGAGAATGTTCAGCATATCTTGTGTCTCTGGTGATGAGAAGTTTGAGATTTTTGGTTTCTGCATTAACCCATTCTGTTTGTGTCCTTATGGTAATTCAGGCTGCCAGCATTGTTAACTCTAGCATACAGCCTCTTCATATGCTATCATTTGCCTGGTCCATACTTGTTATGTCCAATTAAGTTGCATTGAGAATTTTTCTTAAATTCCTCGAGTATGTCTGATCTGTCTCACTTTCTGACTCCTCTATGTTTTCTTTGCATAGAAATATTGAGGAGAAATTTGGTCAGAAGAGCGAATTTATGGGCTCAGTCTAATATAGAAAAAGGTTTCCTTGGTAAGCATTTCTCTTTTTTCTGTTCATATTTGTCACTTCTAAAGAGCCTATTGCCTTCATCATATGTATGTTGCTATTATTGGTACTTATGCTCATTCATATTGCCTTCATACAAATCCCTAATTTTTTCCTATTTTCTTATTATCTTTACTTCATTTTCTATTGCCATCCATCTCATCTCTTCATCTTCTCCGCTCTTTTCTTTCTCTTATCTTTCTTTTTTTCTATTCTCCCTTTTTTCATTCTTCAAAAACCTTAACAATGGTGGTCCGAGCTATACTGAAGAACAAGTGTTTGAATGAAGAAAAATGTAAGTTTTGGTTAGAATGGTAACTAGTTTTGGCATAATGTATTTTCATTGAACGCGCACAAGTGGGGAAGAAAATTTAAGATGCCTCTCTAATTTTCATTGAACTGCATTGTACACAAACAAATTAAAAAAAAAAGATGCTGATATATTTGTGGTTCGGTGAATATGTTTGCCATTGCAGGGGATTCTAAAATTTTATTAAAATAATTGCAAAAATAAAATATGAAAATTGAAAAGAGAGTATTATAAAACTAATATTAAAGAGAGTGAACAATATTAGATTTTTTTGGCTGCTTATATCTTGTCCTTCTTCAAAAGGATTCTGACAGAAGATGGGTAATTGTCGTTTTTAACTTTGATATAAAATTGTTGGTAGCGTAAGTTCGGGTGGGAGGATATCGTTTGGCCTTTTGATATTTTAACCGTATTGTCACAACTAAATCTTGTGTCTTTGGTTCTTCCCTTGGTTGTTGGACCCTTCATTTGCCCTACTATGCCTCATCGTTTACATTTTCTCACTATGATATTGAGTTTGTCCTCCCTGTTCATTTTAATGTTTTAATTATGATTGATTATCCAAGTTTCAAACAATAATGTGAATAATTTATGTATATAGGGAATCGAGATCATATAATATGGTCTGTGATGATGGAGTTGTTGTACAAATCTTCCTTTTTGAATATCCTAAATCCTAATTTGAAGAGAATGTATATTTCTTTATCACTCAGAATTGATAATTAATGAAAATTTGAATATTCCCAGCCAATACCTAGAATTTGAACTACCATCTGCAGAGTGAGTTTCTATTAATTCAATTCCTTTTTGATTGCATTTATATCAAAGCTTCTACGGATTAAACAGTTGACCTTTTTGTTTTATTACAGACGTTTTAAGGAGATTAAAGCTTATAAAAGACTTCGAAATTCATCAAAGAAGCTCTGGATATGGGTTTAAGTATAAGTACGGCTTGACGAAATGTTTGATGGAGCAGTTCAATGTTGCAAAGACAAAGGTTATTGTGGGATGTATGTCATACATTTTTTTTTTAAAAAAAAAAAATTCTAAATGTACAATTTTTTTTTTTTTTTTTAAACCATGACGTAATTTAGTGTTGTGGATAAATAAATTTTGCCCTTAGGAAAGTATTAAAAGTAAAAGTTGTGATAGTGGTTGGATAATATATGTCATAGCCTCTAGGTAGTTTAATAGTTTGTTTGGAACTCTCGGATATCTTACTCAAGAGGTTTTAAATTCAAATCTCCACGATAACTAATAAGGAGTAACTCTGGAGGCTTAACAGGTCGTTAACTTTAGGATCTTGAAAAACTAGTTAAAGTATGCGTAAACTTTTTTAACATTCCAGATAAAAAAAAAAAAAAAAAAAAGGGGTCATAGCCAACAATGAGGGACCGAACATTATAATTAACAACCACAGATCAACTACTCTAAAAGGATGGCTACCAATTAATGAGAGGAATTCAGTAGAGAGACTAAGAATTATATGCTATTCACATTCTTTGGATAGAGAAATTGGCGAGATGGAAGAAAGTTAGTTAAGGAACGTTTGTGTACCAGGTGGATGTTGGAAAAGGATTCGTAGTGCCCTGTCAGATGAGTTATTTAATATCTAATACAACTCTAAGTTCCCAATTTCAGTGCATGGATCGCATGGCTTATAATAATCTTCTGCCCATCAAATTCAATATATGTTTGAACAGGGCTTAATATAATTGAAATCTCTCTTATTTTAATAAATAATCAGAAGTTTATTTGGTAATGTGGAAAACAAATTCAATGTATTTTTATAAGAACGGTTATTAATATTGTAGTCACGGATTTAGAGTTTTATTCGGAAATTTTATTCAGGATTGAGAAACTAGTCGAGGTGCATAATCTGATGGATACCCGGTAAAAAAAAAAAAAAAAAAAAAGAGTAAGAGAAGAGGTGAGAAGTTAAAGAGATGAGATGGATGGAAATAGAGAAAAAAATTAAGGATTTTATAAAGAGTAATACTATATTACAAATAAATCTTACAAATATTTTAACAAATTGAGGACAAAAAATGAATGGAAGAGTGAATTAATGAGTTTGACTTTATTTCAATCTTTAATTATTTTTGTCACCTACTTTTTATGAAAATCTTTTCAAAAGTTATTCGTAAGTATAGTATATTGTTTTATAAAATATGAAAGTTCAAAATTATCCTTAAAAGGGGAAAGAACATCAATAATACCATTTTTTCTGACGAAAAGTGGTAAGGATAATCTTCGTTTCAACATTTAGGTAAAATTGTCCTTGGAAAGTTTGGTGGGAGGATGCTTTCGACCAAGTCATAATTAAAAGCAGCAATATTTCCCGAATAAAAGGACGGCTACCAAAAAACTACAGAGTATGGTAGATAAACTTAAAAAAATTATCGGAGAGAAGAAATTAGCGAGATGGAGGCGGTAAAGGAACTGTTTGTGTAACAGGTGGAACTGGATTCGTAGCTTCATGGTTGATCATGAAGCTTCTTGAACATGGTTTTCGGCGGCCACTGTCAGAGCTGCCTCTGGTATGGTTTATTTTTATATCCGTTTTTCCCCCCAATGTCACTCTGTCGTTAGCATTTCAGTTTCAATTTAGCCAAGTTTATTACGCTGATTAGCACTTTGATAAATGAGCAGAAACAATAGAGATCTTAGCTTCCTCAGAAATCTGCCAGGGGCATTGACAAGCTCAAATCTTGGTGCGGATCTGGCGACAGATAGTTTGATGCAGCCATTGAGGGATGTCAGTGGTGTTCTATGTTGCTACACCTTTGATTTTGAAGGTAGAGAACCTGAAGAGTTGTGACAAAAAGAGCAATCAACGGAACTATTGGCATTTAAGGCATGTTTGAAAGCCAAAACAGTAAAGCGAGTTGTTACAATTCAAGTGCATCGGCTGTTGTGAATGAAAAATGTTGATATAATGGTGAGACATTTTGGAGTGATGTAGATTTCATTAGAAAACCACGCCCTTTGGCTCTTACATGATATCTAAGAAATTAACTGAAAAGGCAGCTCTTGAATTCGCAGAAAGACACGGATTGGATCTGGTGACATGATACCTTCTTTTATTGTTGGTCCCTTTATTTGTCCCAAATTTGTGGCTCAGTACGCACCGCGTTAGCTATGGTCCGGGGTACGTCAGTTCTCTTTTCTTTTGGCACAGTTTAGCAGAACTTGAGTTCTGATTTCTGAATAGTCTCTTTCAATTAAACAATCAGGTAATAAGGAGGATATAGTTCTCTTCTCAACACATCTATGGTGCTGTTGATGATGTGGCCAGGGCACATAATTCCTTTGAACATCCTGGTGTGAAAGGGAGGTATATTTGTTCTTCACAAACAATAACAATTGAACAAGTCTCAACTTCTTTCTGCTAAGTACCCAGAATATCCGATTCCAACATTAGAGTGAGTTAATTCCTTTTTCATTTTCTATAATTTCCCATCTATTATATCATCTTGATATGAAAAATTAAAATAAAACTGTTAACGGATTATTCTTTTGTTTTGATAGTGGTAGCAGAGATCAGAGGTTATAAAATACCAGGATTATCGTCAAGAAACTATGGTGCTGGTTTCGAATTTAAGTATGGGGTCGATGAATGTTCGATGGAGATCAATTGCTGCAGGAAAAAGGCTTTCTCTAGTTAAAGTTTGATACATATATTATACACTATGATTATCCATATATTGTGTTTTACAAGTTGAGTCTATAGGTGAAATCTTAAAGAATAATTTGTATATTATATGTGTAAACAATGATAAGTCTCAAGGTCCTGTAATTTCTGGAATATATTGAGTGATTATTAGCATAATACGTGTCAATCTGATTGCTAATGTGCTACATCTTGATTATATATATAGATATGTTTTTGTATTTACTTAATATTTTAGTTGAGGGACTTTTCATCTATTCTTATCTTAACTATCCAATGATGAAGGATGGATGAATAATTAATATTAAATATTAGAATAATAAAATATAGAATTAAAAAAAAATTAAAACTTGAAAGATTCAGTTAACAGATATATCTTATTTAATAATTATTTTTAAAATACTAAAAAATTGTATATCATAATAAAAATGAATAATATTTATACACAAATTAATATACAATTTATTTAATTTATTTAATATAAAATATCTCGTTAAAAAGTTACGCAATGAAAAATCATAAATGACACTGCTGCTCTAAACTGGTCAATGTTGAGTTGACTATTTAAAGTCTTTTAACTTGGGGCAGACTGCAGGCAGACAGAACATCGCCGTTATAAACCAGCGTGAACTGAAGTTGTCTAGCTTTAAACTTGTGACTCATCAGTATCTTGTCTTTATTATGGATTGCAAGAATCAGGTTCTTTTCCTTTTCCGCCTCTCAAATTAATCATGCAGGCTTTAGTACGAACAAGTGCCATGATTTGAAGTGTAAGTTCTCTTTTGATTCTTCGAGAAAGCAAGAATTAACCTTTTCTTTCGCTTGGGTAATTATGCAGAAAGTAACCGTAATTCCTCGTCTTCTTCTTCAAAGCTTATCTTGTACTTACTGGCAGAGTTCGTGTTCATGGCGTGTTCGTTTCGCTTTGAACCTTAAGGTTTCTCCTTTTCTTTTTCAGTTAGTTGAATTATTATTTTCTGTCACTGTTTCTTCAAATTTTTGTGCTTTCTGAACTTTGTGAATGCTAATATGACTACGAAATTATGTTCTAATTGGCTTTTTCCTTTTCCTTTTTCTTTTTGCGAAGAATATATAAAATATCTTTTTGATAAAGTGTAGGGCTTTCCTATGAGTACAAAGCAGTGAACCTTTCAAAAGGAGAACAGTTTAATCCGGTAAACATGGAATTTGCTATATGTATTGTTTTGTCTTGTATAACCTGCTCTGAAAAAAAATTGCAATGTTGATGATTGTTATACATCGGTTTTGCAGAATTTGAAAAATTAAATCCTCTTCATTAGTCCCAGTGTTAGTTGATGATAATGTGTGTCGGATCTATGCCATCTTGCTGGTTGGTATTCTTTGTTCTTAAAGTCATTAACAACTTGAAGGAACCTCTAATCATCAATCGTTTTAGTGAATTAAATCAATGATAAGGTTCAGTTTTCATGGTCTGTGTGCTATCATGCTTTAAGTTCAGGAGTTTGGTTCGGCAATTTAATTTATACTGATAGTTTGTCCCTTGATGATTTGACTAGTTTTAATATGCATAAGTTACTGCTATTATCTTGATAGTATGAGTGGTAGTAAAAATTATCCTCAAAGACCGCTGTTACCAGCTGATCCTCAGCTAAGAGCTTTGAACCTCCAGGTACAAGCTTTGCATCAACTCAATTACGAAGATCAGTAATTTACTAAATTAATTTAAATACCATGTCTCACATGGGAACTTCAGTGGAATCCCGTTATGTTGAGAATGTTCAGCATATCTTGTGTCTCTGGTGATGAGAAGTTTGAGATTTTTGGTTTCTGCATTAACCCATTCTGTTTGTGTCCTTATGGTAATTCAGGCTGCCAGCATTGTTAACTCTAGCATACAGCCTCTTCATAAGCTATCATTGCTGGTACATACTGTTTCTGTACAATTAAGTTGCATTGAGCAAATTTTTCTTAAATTCATCGAGTATGTCTCATCTCTCTCACTCTCTGACCCCTCTATGTTTTTCGTTGCATAGAAATATATTGAGGAGAAATTTGGTCCAGAAGAGCGAATTTTATGGGCTCAGTCTAACATAGAAAAAGGTTTCCTTGGTAAGCATTTCTCTTTTTTTCTGCTCATATATGTCACTTCTAAAGAGACCATATTGCCTTCATCACAAATTGTATGTTGCTTACTTATTGGTACTTATGCTCATTCATTTTACCCTTTTTGTACAGCTCTTGAGAAGTTGTTGAAAGATTATGTTAGCAGATATGCCACTGGAGAAGACGTATACATGGTATCTTTAAAATACTTCTTTTTGTTTATTCATTCATCTGAATTATCTTTTGTCAATAAAACTAACTTTATTGCTATAATACTCTTGTTTTTGTTTGATATGTGCACTGCTGTTGGTTTATTCAAGTACTGTTATACATAAATAACTGAAATTGATGGGTGTATTAGTGAGTTCAGTGGAGCGTGGGAGGGAAACGGGTTTGCCCTTTTTCACCAATGATCATATCTAAAACCTTTCTGAAACTATTTATCACAATTATGCTATCTTGGTTGACTTTTTCTTCAACAAACTTCTATTAATGAACTCTCACACTTTTTCTGGCTTCTTTTTCATACCAATATTCACTTATATTCTGAGTATTCCTGGTTAAATGAATTCATTGAAGACTACTCTAAACTTTCATTGTGTCATTTACTAATTCCTGCTATGTTTCCTTGCATTTCTTCATTTATTTCCTCCAGTGAGTCATTTGCCGAGTCATCTCTGTCAATTTTTTTTTTTTTTTTTTCAATTTTTCTGCAAGAAGAGAGACTGTACTAAGGAGTTTTGTTATTTGAACTTGTTACCCAAGCAAATGTCTCACAGAATGCTGGACAAATTGACAAATCTTTAACATATTCAATGATGATGAACTGTTTTAGAAGAGTTTCCTTCGATGAGAGTTAATGTTTTGTGAATAAAAATAATACAATAATACTATACTTGCAAAGAAATCTTACAAAGATTTTCATACAAAGTGAGGTGGCAAAAAATGAATGGAATAGTGAAATAAAAAGTCAAACTCATTAAATTCACTCTTCCATTCATTTTTTGCCACATCACTTTGTATGTAGATCTTTGTAAAATTTCTTTGTAAGTGTAGTATTACTCAAAATAATAATTCGATGATGATTTAATTAGATTATTCTTGTGCCTAAATGAATACCTTAAATTTAACACTGAATTGAAAAACATTATAAACATAGCACGAAGCTTGTATATTCAGAAATTATGATTTCATTAATTAAATATGATATTAAAACTGATCATTCAGAAATTGTCATTCACAGGCTGATGTGTTCCTGGCACCACAAATTGCAGTGGTTAATAGGTTTAACATTGACATGGTGAGTATTATCCCTAATTATTCTGTTTCGCCTTTCCACAGATAATGGTTTTATGATAAAACATATTAGTTTGTTTCACTTTTAATGTTACTGTAAATTTATTTTGTTATAAATTGTTGAAGATGGTTCATCAATATTTAATTGTTCATTTGTGCTCATAGAATTCACTGTAGCAACTCCTGTTTTGGTGGTACTATGAAGAATCTTAATTGGGGCATACTACATCTTAGTAGGACTTGATTGATTTTACTAGATTTGGTATACACTTTAAGTAAGATTCATTTGGGAAGTTTTCTGAGATTATATGCTTATGTTTTGCTCATGCTGCATTTCAATAGAGTAGGGACTTGAGTGATTTTATCAGATTTGTATAGTATATGTTTGAGCAAAGACTTTAGTGTAAAAGAATCTACTATTTTAAATGTTTGGGAATTATTATGGAGCCCTTAGAAATGTTCTATTTTATGAAAAATTCAGTGAAAATATAAAACATCCCATGCTGGGACAGATTTTGGTCGAAACTTGCAACATTCTTCAAAGACCAGCATGATGATGATTAAGTAAGCATCTGTTTTGGTTTGTTCTTTATTGAAGCTTTCTGTAGTTCTTTTTCATACCAGACCATGTGGGGTAATTCTTATATATGACAAATTTGCGATTATTTGCAGTCCAAATTCCCTACTTTAAGTAGAATATATGAATCATACAAGGCTTTACCAGACTTCCTAGCCTCATCACCAGAAAGACAACCAGATGCAGTGTGTTAAGTATGTTTTTTCTTCCTCTGTATTACTTTATATGTACCAATTGATCTTGTAATGTGTATCACTTTTCCTGTGTTGTTTTTATGATTGTATTCTATATGCCTATTCATAATGATGAGATTATTCTCTCTTGTTTCGTATTTTCATCATAGTTTGTGTTACATGCTGAATAAGTACTTCCGTTTAAAAACAAATTTGTAGATTTTGTGGACGGTAAATTGTACAGGACTCGACTACGAAAAAAGATTTGGATGGATTCTAAGATCTAATGCCTGTACTGTAATACAAAAATTGCTCTCAAGATGTCGTTATCTAAAATTAATATGATAAGACAAACAATAAAGGGATGGGCGGTATAATCCAATTCTTAACGCCAAAATTCAATCATAGTTTAATATAGCCTAGCAATGTCTCATCTGTCTAAAATTCCAAGTTTTCTATTACTTAAACCTGTACACTCTCTGGGCCGTCCTCTTCTCTCTCTCTGATCCAGGTTTTTTACAAAACAATGTTGTCCTACTTAAACCTCCAAGACGCAGAAGCAACCGTTGAAAGAGAGCTAAGTTTTGCAGAGAAACTATGGTTCAATCACTCTACCAATAAACATGATAATATTCTTCAATTTTACGACTTCCTGTTCTTGTTATTATTTTACTCCATTTTTCCGTTGCCATACATGTTGATGGAGCTTAGTCAGTCAAAGAAAATAAGCAAGTTCAAGATTCAACCAAAAGTCAACAGATGTTTCTCAGACATGTTCAAGTCCTACAAAAGTGTGATGCAAACTTATCTGCTTGTTGCTGGTCCTCTACAAGTTCTATCCTTTCCTGCCATGAAGGTTGGTTTCAAAATTTCTTCTTCTGGTGATACTTTTCATTAGTTTATATACAAAATTTAAAATTTTAGTAATAGGGTGTACTTAGAAAATGGAGTTTTTTAGAGCATTTCTAATTCTAGGGACATATATTTCTCCATCCAAATTAAATCTTTGCACGGAACGAAATTTGAAGAATTAAATTAACTTGATTATCAATTGTGATTATTGAGTTGGTTGGGGATCTTTAATTTATTTATTTATTATTATTTTTTTTTTTTTTGGCAGTGGATTGGTATTAGGACTAGTTTGCCTTTGCCTTCAAGGTGGGAAAAGTTTTGGCAATTATTGGTCTACTTTGTTATAGAAGATCACTTCAACTATTGGATTCATCGATGGTCCATATGAAATGGGCTTACCAAAAAATCCACTATGTACACCTCGAATATAAAACTCCAATGGCATTCACTGCACCATAGTTCATTGGGCCGAGATTTTGGTCCTAGGCGTCACATCTTTCTTGGGCCTGCATTGGTACCTAGAAACATAATTACATACTAGTTATGGCTCATACCGAGGCAAATTGAATCCATTCACACTCATAGCGGGTTAGTGATTCTCTTTTGAGTAATGTTAGGCCAATAACTCATTCTCATAAACCTCTTTTACAATCCTAATGTGTTAATAGATTAGCATTGTCACGTCAGGTCCTATACACCTAAGGCACCCAAGGCTCTACGAGGAACAAACAGTCGTTCCTTCAGAAAGAATAGTTGTCCCTTACGAAGAAACGGTCGTTCCTTCATAAGGAACGACTGTCCGTTATGAAGGAACATAAAGAATGGCTGTTCCTTTAAGGAACAACCATGTTCCTTCTTCTTCTTCTCTTCTTATTCTTCTTTTCTTCTCTTATTCTTATTCTTCTTATTCTTCTCTTCTTATTCTTCTTCTTCTCCTTCTTGGAGCAATCTTGTTCCTGAAGGAACAATCATTCTTATGAAAATCATTCATTTTGTGAGAAATAGTCGTTCCCTATGAAAGAACGGTCGTTCATTTGGTCTAGTTAAAATCATTTTACGCCTTTCAGTGTGGTGGAGTTGCTGTGGACTGTAAGGTCAGGTGCCATGTTGAGGTTGTAAGAGAGGTTTGTGAGAATGAGTTGTTGACGTAGCATTATTCTTCTCCTTTTATTTATTTTTTATCTCCTTTCGCTTTCACAGTTGAATGAAAAAGCTAGGGTAAAATTTGTTGTGGGTTGAGACCCAGATACGAGTTTCCATGGGGTCCCACAAAATATATTCCATTCTATGGAGGAGTAGGGAACCATGATTATCATCACTTTGTGGGTGTTAATAGTCAATGTAACTTTGCACCCGTATTGGCTTATTGTGATTTCATTTATGGAATCAAAAAGGTTAGTCAACTACTTCTTATCCCATCTAGTTTAATTGAACAAATTATATGTATTCATTCATTTAAGATGCATCCGGATCGACTTCAAGCTTAAGTACTATATATTAAGGGTGTTTGGTTCCGAGTACTCTATATTTTTTGAAAGAATTAGAATCAGAACTGGAATCGATGGTTCCTTGAAATCTGAAACCGGAATTGACAGTTCCGGTTCCTAGGTACCCATAACTAGAACCTATAACAACGGTTTCGGTTCTGGTTCTGAGTACCTTGTAAAATTATAATTACCCTCAAAAGTTTTTTAAAATGACAAAAAAACTTTTAAAAACTTACAAATACACCCCCTTTTTGGCACTTGTTAAAAAAAATAAAATTACAAATTATAAATTCAAAATTATAAACTCCGTTATTTTGTAAAGGTAGATTTTCAAAAATTAAACCAACTTACTTTAAATGTTATAAAATATAAATATAAATATATTCACCTTACTTTTTCTATAAAAGTTTTTATTAACCCTTTACTCTTTAATTTTATTTTATATTAGTTTCGATTTTTGGTTCTGGTTCAGGATCGTACAATAATGATTCTAAAAATTTAGAATTGAAATCTATCCATTGACGATTAGCTTCGGGTAAAATCTAAAACTAAACCCTAAAACAAATTGGTTATAGTTTCAATCTGTTCTTTTGAACACCCTTCCTATATATTGTTTGACCTGTGAAAACCTTGTATCTGTCTTCATTCATTTAATTCAATCGATTATCTGTTTTCATTCATTTAAGATGCATCCGGATCGACTTCAAGCTTAAGTACTATATATTGATGGACTTTTGAAAACCTTGTATCTGTCTTCATTCATTTAATTCAATCAATTATCTGTCTTCATTCATTTAAGATGCATCCGGATCGACTTCAAGCTTAAGTACTATATATTGATGGACTTTTGAAAACTTTGTATCTGTCTTCATTCATTTAATTCAATCAATTATCTGTCATCATTCATTTAAGATGCACGCAGATCGACTTCAAGCTTACGTAGCATATATTGATTGACCTTTGAAAACCTTGTATCTGTCTTCATTCGTTTAATTCAAAAAATTATCTGTCTTCGTTCATTTAAGATGCATCCGGATTGACTACAAGCTTAAATACTATATATTGATTTATTTTCAAAACCTTGCACTGTTTCTTAATGGTCATTGAACAAATTGAAATATGATTGTGGGTGCTGTGGAAAAAAAGAGAAAGAGAGTTGATACTTAAGCTGTTAACTAATGTTTTGACTATAAATCCACTCGGGGCTATCGATATCATAAGTCTCTCCTCAATAAGGTATGAGGTATATATATATATATATATATATTTATATATTTGTGAATTTGAGGTTTATATATTTTCTTGTATTATCTTTTAACGTTTATTGATTAATTGTATGCTTGGGTGAAAGAGAGCTCAGAAGAAGATGGACAAATGAGAGTTACTAGTGTCTTGCCCGACGTCTCAAACTACTAGCTTTGGAAGCATCAACCATCGGTTCTTATTGGCAGCAGTTATTTGAACGCGTATCGGATTCGTTTTTAGGGAAAAAAAGGCCACTTGTTTGTACAGTTTGAATTTATTTATTTAGATAAATAATATTACGTTTATAATCTCTTCTCATAAATTTTTTTTTCATAATTTCGATATGATAGTTCGTAATTATTTGGTTCACGAATGGACAAGAAGGACTCACAGCAAGCTGGTGGGATCTTATTTTTGAATTAATCAATCACGAGCAATTCTGTCGAGATGATAAGAAAAAAATTGTAAGGAGAGATTATAAACTTATTATTTTTGCTATATTTAGAGTGGTCTCAATTCATTTACACTTACACATGGTTGTGTCCACCCTACTCTTGTGAAAGCCCATTACAATCTTGACATATCATTAAACTAATAGTCTTATCTAAGCGTTGGAGCCTTGGAGGCAACGGAAAAGACTTACCGCTTTTTATACTCATCAAAGTAATAAAAAATCTAAATATATATTTTTTAAGTACTGGTGACCATGTTGTGGGGTTGTAATTGGATGCTGGTGGAGAAGCTTATATTGTAATTCAAAAATTGCTTTGAAATTCAACAAGAGATTTTCTGAAATAAAATGCAAGGATTTGATAGAAAAGCTTGTAACTGATCTGGACCATCTGGCAAAAGTAGCTTATCACAGTCATGCTTAAGCTGTTAGGGAAAAAAACCTAATTAATACAATTTCTTTGTCTTCTAAATCTACGTTAAACCTCTGTTTTAAAACTTAGATCGGATCGGTCGGTCCGACCGGTTTGACAGAGAGCCAGCCTTTACTTCGATCCACGGTAACATAAAAACCGGGAATGTCATTAAACCTGTTTTGGATCGGCGATGGACCAGTGGAATAGTACAAAACCGTTGGTCCGATCGGCCCGGACTTAAAATGGTTCGCTATTTTTGAGTATCTGATCCTAAAAAATTCATATTCCTAATTCATAAATCAATTTGCAACACCGTTTCATACTCCATTTCATTTGAATAAAAAAACCAAATTGTATCTTCTATTTTCATCTTCTATTCTTTCACTTACTCTAACATCTACCGTGTAAAGAAGAAGAAGAAGTAAGGGGAGGGGAAGGAAGAAGAAAGAGAAGAAGAGACAAGAGAAAGAGTAATGAAGAAGATTAGAAGAAAGAAAAGAGGAGATGAAGAGAAAGAGAAGGAAGAAGAAAGAGAGGATGAGAGAAAAATTACCGTAGAGAGACGCGAATGTGTTAGAAGAAAGAAGAAAAAGAAAGTGACAGGAGTGATGGGGAGAGAGAGAGAAAAGGAGAAAGAAGAAAGTGATGGGGAGTGATGGCCTGATGGGGACAGAGAAAAAAAGAGAAAGACAAAGTGAT